TGTTTGGGCTTGTTGCATGTGCCCGCCCCCTGGGCTCTTGACCGCCGGAGCTCCGCTCCTCTGCGCTCCTGCAGGAAATGACCCCCGTCTGCTGTGCTCTAGCAGGACCTCCTCTAGTTCCTGCAGAGAGGCCCTTGAGTCAACCCGCCCCCCCCCCCATGGCAGGAGCTGTCCTTTCTCGAGTGGGGGGGCGGCAGAGGCCCTCCCCGGGACCTACCTCCTTGTTGATGAAGCAATAGAGGACGCTCACCAGCAGCCCCTGGAAGATTAAACAGTGAGAACAAGTCAGGAAGGGCGTCTTCACTTCAAACGTGGATCGGTTCAAGTGCTTGCAGTTTTTTTTTGGGGGGGGGATTCCGTTGGAGGTTTCCCCACCCGCTCACTCACTCACGACCTACCAGGGCCGGCAGATCTGGGATGGGAAATACCCGAGATTTGGGGGCTGAGCCTAAGGAAGGCGGAGCTTGGGTTGGGGAGGGGCTTCAGCGGGGTAGAACGCCACAGCGTCCGCCTCCCAAGGCGGCCATTTTCTCCCAGGGAAACGGATCTCTGTTGCCGGAGATCAGTTGTCATCGCAGGAGATCTTCGGCCACTATCTGGAGGTTCCAGCCCCAAATGGACCACGGTGACTCAACCAAGGTTGCATCCCACCCATGTCCACTGTGAAATAATTGATTCAAGTCCAATTACAGTCCACGAATTTGCTCCTCCTCCTCCTCCTCCTCCTTTTTGTTTCTTCGTTTTACGTCATGCAGCGCTGCTGCTGCTTCCAGCAATTGTCATGCGACTACAGGTCTGTAGAATTGTAAACCAATGTTCCCTCTAAGCTGTGGAGTCATGTGAACAAAAAGTCCTACTTTGTGAGCTACCGGCATTAAAGTCGTGAGCGAGCGATTTGGCTGCTGCGTCAATTGGTTTGCTCTGGAGCCCTCCTTCCTGAGCTCAGACAAAAATGTGTGAGCCGGAGGCTAAAAAACTGTGAGCTGGCTCACACTAACTCAGCTTAGAGGGAACACTGATTGTAACCAGGGGTCATTTCCTGCGGGAGTGCACAGGAGCGGAGCTCCGGCAGTAAGGAGCCCAGGGGGCGGGCACATGCAACAAGCCCCGCCCCCTGCTCCCAGCAGCTCTCAGTCGGGCCACGAGGAGCAAGAAGCAGCCAGGTATGTGAGGGCAGATCTGCACGTTCCTCCCCCCAACAGCTAGCAATCCAAAACAGTCCAGTGGAGCCTGAGCGGTGGGTGTTGCCTTCTGACACACGTCCGGTGATGTCAGGGGGAGTGGCCTATGGAAATCAGTTATGCTAATGAGTTATGCTAATGAGCTCCTGCACCTCTTTTTCTACAAAACTACCCCTGATTGTAACTGTATTGTGATTTATTTGTAAAACAGCTCCAAGTATAAAGCGACCTGACGAAGCATTGAGGGAAACAGATTGTTTACCCGGGCAGCAGCAGCAGCACTGCATGACGTCAAACAAAGAAACAAAAAGAAGGAGAAGAAGCGAATTCTTGGACTGTGATCGGACTTGAATCCATTTTTCACAGTGAACATGGGTGGGGTACTGCCTGGAGGCCGGCGGCTTGCCGCTAGAATAACCCGGGAAGCTGGAATGAGTGCTAAACCCCAAGCCGAGAGAGACCCCAAGGCCGTCACCTGGAAGGAGTTGAGGAAGAGCTCAAAGAAGTATTTGACATAGTGCAAGAGCCCCCCGGCTTGCTCCTCGGTGACCAGGACGAAGACCACCTCGTGGATGCCCAGCAGGGGGATGAGAGTGAGCGTCGACTTGGCCAACCTGAGAAAGGGGGAAGACAGATGAGAACGTGTGGGTCGTGCGTCAAGCCGGGGACGATCCAAAAGAACCGCCTCCCCCCAGTTCTGGCACCAAACCAACAGCCCTAATCTCCAGAGGTTGGGACACGCAGACTGACTCCAAAGTCAGTGAGGATGGCTCAGTAGAGCCTCCACGTTCAGAGGCAGTGTACCTCGGAAAGCCAGTTACTACCGGGAGCCGTAACTGGAGGAAACCTCTGTGTCTCGCTTCTGGAGGGATCTCGCCGGTCCCTGGGGAAACCAGGGTGCCGGATTCAGTGGACCTTTGGCCTGATCCAGCAAGACTGCTCTTACGTACTCAAAGGCACACCCCCATTCACATGTATGGAGCTCCATGTTGGCCAGAATACTGTTAAGAGTCACATTTCCAACCAAGCACCTGATTGGCCGGCAGTACAGCTTATGTTCCCATTGGACAGAACTGCCTATATATTACCCACATCCCCCCTCTGATGGTTTTCTGAGACACGGCCTATTTCTGCTCTGTCCCCTTTGTTCCTGGGCATTCTAACAACGGCATTCTTCCCTGCCCTTTGGCGTCCGGCCGAATTGTGTCCCATCAGAAGAAGAAGAGGAAGAAGAGATTGGATTTATACCCCGCCCTTCACTACCCAAAGGAGTCTCAGAGTGGTTTACGCTTTTTACATAATTTACATTCCATAAACATTTTTCACTAATGTTGCATCTGATTTTACATTGTTTGCTTTTCAAGCCATTATTAACACATATTAAAGAGTCTTACACATTTAACCTTCTCATCCATTCATATACCTTTATTATATATACCATTAGATATCTATCCTGCTGACTATACTCCTTAGGCAACATATTTAGTAAGTATATTTCTGGCTTTAACGCTAAATTCTTCTCCAATATTTCTTGAATTAGTGTCCGCACCATTTTCCAATAACCCTGGACTTTATTACAGGTCCACCACAAGTGGTAAAAAGACCCTGTATTGGCCTTACATTTCCAGCATTGCGGGGAGTAACCCGCGTAGCATTTAGCTATTTTATCTGGTGCCCAGTGCCAACGGTGGAACATTTTATATACGTTTTCTTTGTAGGCTGTGGCTCTCATATATTTAACGGATTCCCACGTCCTCGACCACATATCTAATTCTATCTTTTCCCCTATATCTTTCTCCCACTTAACCATTACTTTTTAAACTTCCTCATCTTTCACAAAATCTTCCAGTAGAAAATTATACAGTTTTTGTATCAATTTGTTACAATCGCCTTCCCCTCCCCCTCCCCACAACAGACACCCTGTGAGGTAGGCGGGGCTGAGAGAGCTCTGAGAGAACTGCTCGTGAGAGAACAGCTCTGAGAGAACTTGTGACTGACCCAAGGTCACACCAGCAGCTGCGTGTGGAGGAGCGGGGAATCAACCCCGGTTCTTCCAGACTAGAGGCCGCGCTCCTAACCGCGACACCAAACTGGCCCCCGGTAAGAGTCCCACCTCCCCACCCCGCACGGCGGTTCCTTCCTTACCTAAATTTGTAATCCGCATAGTGCATCTGTTGCGCTTGGAGTTTGGAGACCAATATCTTAATGATGCGGATGAAGATCACAAAGTTGACCTGGGAAACGGGGGGTGGGGGGTGAATGACAGGAATCTTAATGATGCGGATGAAGATCACAAAGTTGACCTGGGAAACGGGGGTGGTGGTGAATGACACCAAAGGACTGGATCCTGCACAGCCAGGACTCCCCTCCCCCCCGCCCCTTCCG